CGGCGGTGAGCAGCTCGGCCAAGCGCTGGTGCCGGACGCCGATGGGAGCGTAGTCAAGGACGCAGGTGGTCTTGAGGGCGAAGGCGTCGCGGCGCGTGGTGCGGAAGGCGAAGGACGGCGCCGTGAGCGCCGCCGCCAGGGCCCAGGCGCCGGCGCTGAGCGCTCGCGCCAGCGCCGGCCGGCGGTGGTTGTGGCACCAAACGGGGCGAGCCACCAGGGCGCAGCGGTCGGCGCTGATGGCCGTGAGGAGCAGGACGCTGGCGAACATGTTGAGGATGGTGAGGGAGGGCAGGAGCTTGCAGGCGAAGAGGCCCAAGGGCCAATGGTGGTCCCAAGCCAACGGTAGAGCCAAGAAGGGCAGCGCCAAGCAACACAAGAGGTCGGCCACCGAGAGGTTGAGGAACCAGACGCCGTTGACGGTGCGGTGCAGCTCGAAGGCCGTCACCCAGATGACGGCGCCGTTGCCGAGGACGCCCAGGAGGAAGATGAGGGTGTAGAGGGCCAGCACGGCGCGGTGGCCCGGCGGCACCGCGTAGGAGTCCAGCTCGTAGATGTCGTAGTCGTCCCACATGGAGTCGTTGGCGGAGGTGGTGTTGGGTAAGAGGAAGTCCAAGTCCATCGTGGAGCTCCTGGGGTTGGGAATAACCCGGTGTGAGGCAGTGGTGGGTTGGAAGGACCTTCATTGGTACCTACTCTATGCACCATGGGCAATGGCATCTTCACCAATGGGTTTTGGGTTGGAAGGACCTTCATTGGTACCTACTCTGGGCACCATGGACAATGGCATCTTCACCAGACCAAGGGGCTCAAAGGCCCACAATGGGTTTTGAGTTGAAAGGACCCTCAATGATCGCCCAAGGTTCCATGGGCACCAAACCAAGGTGCTCAAAGCCCTACAATGGGTTTTAGGTTGGAAGGACCTTCATTGGTACCTACTCTGGGCACCATGGCCAATGGCATCTTCACCAATGGGTTTTGGGTTGGAAGGACCTTCATTGGTACCTACTCTATGCACCATGGGCAATGGCATCTTCACCAGTGGGTTTTGGGTTGGAAGGACCCTCAAGGATCACCCAAGGTGCCATGGGCAAGGGCATCTCCACTAAACCAAGGTGCTCGAAGCCCCATATATCATGTCCTACAATGGGTTTGGGGTTGGAAGGACCTTCATTGGTACCTACTCTATGCACCATGGGCAAGGGCATCTTCAACAGACCATGATCCTCAAAGGTCCACAATGGGTTTTGGGTTGGAAGGACCCTCAATGACCATCCAAGGTGCCATGGGCAAGGGCATCTCCACCAAACCAAGGGGCTCAAAGGCCCATATATCATGTCCTACAATGGGTTTTGGGTTGAAGGGACCTTCATTGGTACCTACTCTATGCACCATGGGCAATGGCATCTTCACCAGTGGGTTTTGGGTTGGAAGGACCCTCAAGGATCACCCAAGGTGCCATGGGCAAGGGCATCTCCACTAAACCAAGGTGCTTGAAGCCCCATATATCATGTCCCACAATGGGTTTGGGGTTGGAAGGACCCTCAATGACCTCCCAATTCAACCCGGAGCTGGAAAGCATCCCCATAAACCAGCTCTCCCGTATGCCCATCAGCATCCCCCCTCCATCCACCCCATCCCTGCCCCTCCAAAGCAGTCCCATGGGATGCTCCTCCACCCATGCCCCCCCGCCCCACTGTTGTCCCTATGGCCACCAGGAAGCCAGCATTGCCCCACTTCCTCGCCCCACTTCCCCCCTCCCCTCAATGGCGCAAGAGCTCGGATGAGGAAACACCAAAGGAGCTTCTCCAGCCCCCAGGGAGGGGACCCCGGGATTGGATCCCATGGGATAAGGAGAAACCCCCTCAAGTGGGAATGGGGCAACGCTGAAGGGGGGAACTCCAAGGGAAGGCTTGGGAATGATCCAGGGATCCGGAGCATGGGAAGAGGCCATCATCCCCCATCATCATCATCATCGATCATCATTGATCATCATCATCATCATCGATCATCATTGATCATCATCATCATCATCATCATCATCATCATCATCATCATCATCCATCAAATGCACAGGAGCCGCCACCGCCTCCCTCCTGCCCTCCATGGGTAAACTCCACCCCAGGCGAGCCCCATGGGAATGGGGTGGATGGCGAGCCCCACGATCCCACCTTTTCCCCCTATCCCATCCCAAGGAACCCATCGCCACCCCCTTACCTGCGGCCCGGCGCTGCAGCCCCGTGCCCGGTGCCGTCCCCACCGGCTTTTATATGGGGCCGGCCAAGGGGAAGGAAGAGGAGGAGGAGGAAGAAGAAGAAGAAGAAGAAGAGATCGGCCCCAAACCACTGTTGGGGGGCGGGGAAAGGGGCTGGGAAGGCTCCGGATCCCAATGGGATGAGGGGAGGGTGGGGGGGGGGATCCCCAATGGACCCCCTTCCATGAGGAGGGAGGAGCGGGAGGGCTCCACCAGCCCCAACCCCCTCATTTTAGAGCCCCCAAACTCCTCTTTTCACCCCAAAATCCAGGAGCATCCCCCCCCCCCCCCAACAGGGAGCTTTCTATTAGCGGGATTCCCCCCCCCCCCCCCCCCGGTTTCCCAGGCATGGACAAGAGGGGGACCCCAGGAGCAAAGGGGGGACCCTGGAGTTAAGGGGGGACCAGGGGCTAAAAGGGGGAGCCAGGGGTTAAAGGGGTCCCAGGGGTTAAAGGGGGGACCCAGGGGCTAAAGGGGGACCCAGGGGCTAAAGGGGGGACCCTGAGGCTAAAGGGGGACCCAGGGGTTAAAGGGGTCCCAGGGGTTAAAGGGGGGACCCTGAGGCTAAAGGGGGACCCAGGGGTTAAAGGGGGGACCCTGAGGCTAAATGGGGACCCAGGGGTTAAAGGGGGCCCAGGGGTAAAAGGGGGGCCCAGGGGTTAAAGGGGGGACCCTGGGGCTAAAGGGGGACCCAGGGGTTAAAGGGGGGACCCTGAGGCTAAAGGGGGGACCCAGGGGCTAAAGGGGGACCCAGGGGTTAAAGGGGGGACCCTAAGGCTAAAGGGGGGCCAGGGGTAAAAGGGGGACCCTGAGGCTAAAGGGGGCCCAGGGATAAAAGGGGGACCCTGGGGCTAAAGGGGGACCCAGGGGCAAAAGGGGGACCCAGGGGTTAAAGGGGGACCCTGAGGCTAAAGGGGGGACCAGGGGGTAAAAGGGGGACCCTGAGGCTAAAGGGGGGACCCAGGGGTTAAAGGGGGACCCAGAACTAAAGAGGGGACCCAGGGGTTTAAGGGGGACCCCAGGGGCTAAAGGGGGTTCCCTGGATCTGTGTGGGGATGCCTGGATCAATGTCAGGATCCCGGGATCAATGTTGGGATCCCGGGATCAATGTCAAGATGCTCAGGATCAATGTCGGGATCCCCGGGATCAATGTCAGCATCCCTGGATCAGTGTCAGGATCCCGGGATCAATGCCAGGATGCTCAGGATCAATGTTGGGATCCCCGGATCAGTGTCAGGATCCTGGATCAATGTCGGGATGCCCAAATCAATGTCAGGATGCTCGGGATCAATGTCAGGATCCCAGGCTCACCATTGGGATCCCGGGATCAATGTCAGGATGCCCGGATCAATGCTGGGATCCTGGATCAATGTCAGGATCCTGGATCAATGTTGGGATGTTGGGATCAGTGTCGGGATTCCGGGATCAATGCCAGGATCCTGGATCAGTGTCAGGATGCCCGGATCAATGTCGGGATGCTCGGGATCAATGTCGGGATGCTCGGGATCAGTGTCAGGATCCCGGATCAATGCCAGGATCCTGGATCAGTGTCAGGATGCCCGGATCAATGTCGGGATGCTCGGGATCAGTGTCAGGATCCTGGATCAATGTCGGGATCCTGGATCAGTGTCAGGATGCCCAGATCAATGTCGGGATGCTCGGGATCAATGTCGGGATCCCCAGATCAGTGTCAGGATCCTGGATCAGTGTCGGGATGCCCGGATCAATATTGGGATGCTCAGGATCAATGTCAGGATGCTCGGGATCAGTGTCAGGATCCCCAGATCAGTGTCAGGATCCTGGATCAATGTTGGGATCCTGGATCAATGTCAGGATGCCCGGATCAATGTCGGGATGCTCGGGATCAATGTCGGGATCCCCAGATCAGTGTCAGGATCCCGGATCAATACCAGGATCCTAGATCAGTGTCGGGATGCCCGGATCAATGTCGGGATGCACGGGATCAATGTCAGCATCCCTGGATCAGTGTCAGGATGCCCGGATCAATATCGGGATGCTCGGGATCAATGTCGGGATCCCCAGATCAGTGTCAGGATCCTGGATCAATGTCGGGATGCTCGGGATCAATGCCAGGATCCTGGATCAATGTCGGGATCCTCGGATCAATGTCGGGATCCTGGATCAATGTCAGGATGCTCGGGATCAATGTCAGGATGCTCGGGATCAGTGTCAGGATCCCCAGATCAGTGTCAGGATCCTGGATCAATGTTGGGATCCTGGATCAGTGTCAGGATGCCCGGATCAATGTCGGGATCCCCAGATCAGTGTCAGGATCCCGGATCAATACCAGGATCCTGGATCAGTGTCAGGATGCCCGGATCAATATCGGGATGCTCGGGATCAATGTCAGGATCCCCAGATCAGTGTCAGGATACTGGATCAATGTCGGGATCCTGGATCAGTGTCAGGATGCCCGGATCAATATCGGGATGCCCGGATCAATGTTGGGATGCTCGGGATCAATGTCAGGATGCCGGGATCAGTGTCGGGATCCCAGGCTCACCATCGGGATCCCGGGATCCCGGCTCCAGCCCGGAGCCATTGCAGACTTTTATTAACAAACACCCGGGGTCTCCCCCCCCCCGACCCTGGACCCGGCTCCAGGATCGGGCCCCCCCCCCCCCCCGCGAGCGCCGGCGCTTCCCAAGGGATGCGGGGGGGGGGGGGGGGGGCTTTTCCCCCCTTCCCGGTGCTTCCAGCGGCTCCCAAGGTCCTGGTGCGGTTGGGATCAGGGTGGGAGAGAGCGGTGGTCCTGGGGGGAGAGCGGGAGTGAGGGGGGAATGGGAACGGGAATGGGAAAGCGGAATGGGAAATGGGAAAGGGAACGGGGAATGGGAAAGGGAATGGGAAAGGGAACGGGAATGGGGAATGGGAAAGGGAATGGGATCGGGAAAGGGAACAGGAATGGGGAATGGGAATGGGATTGGGAAAGGGAACAGGAATGGGGAATGGGAATGGGGACGGGGAATGGGAACGGGGGAAAGGAGAAAGGAAAAGAGAAAGGAAAAAGGGAAGAGAAAAAGAAGGAAGGGATGGGGACAGGGAAGAAGGAGGAAGGGAAAGGAGGAAGGGAAAAAGGGGAAAGGAAAAGGGAAAGAGGAGAAAGAGAAAAGGAGAAAGGGGAAAAGGGGAAGGAGAAAGGGAAAGAGGAGAAGGGAAAAGGGAAAGAGGAAGCAGAAAGGGAAAGAGAAAGGGAAAGAGGAGAAGGAGAAAGGGAAAGAGAAAGGGAAAGAAAAAGGGAAAGAGGAGAAGGAGAAAGGGAAAGAAAAAGGGAAAAGAGAAAGGGAAAGAAAAAGGGAAAGAGAAAGGGAAAGAGGAGGAGGGGAAAGGGAAAGAGAAAGGGAAAGAAAAAGGGAAAAGAGAAAGGGAAAGAAAAAGGGAAAGAGAAAGGGAAAGAGGAGAAGGAGAAAAGGAAAGAAAAAGGGAAAAGAGAAAGGGAAAGAAAAAGGGAAAGAGAAAGGGAAAGAGGAGGAGGGGAAAGGGAAAGAGAAAGGGAAAGAAAAAGGGAAAGAGAAAGGGAAAGAGGAGGAGGGGAAGGGAAAGAGGGGAAAAGAATAAGAGGGAATGAGAAAGAGATGGGGAAAAAGAACGAGGGGGGGAACAGAAGTGAGGGGAAGGGGAATGGGAAAGAGGAAGGGAAAGAGGTGAAAGAGGGAAAGGAGAAAGGGAAAGAGGATGGGAATGAGAAAGGAGTAAGAGGGAACGAGAAAGGGATGGGGAAAAAGAATGAGAGGAGGGAGAACAGCAGTGAGGGGAAGGGGAAAGAGGAAGAGAAAGGAAAAGAGGGGAAGGAGAAAGGGAAAGAGAAGGGAAAAGGGAAAGAGAGGAAGAGGAAAGGGAAACAGAAAGGGCAAGAAGGAGAAAGGGAAAGAGAAAGGGAAAGAGGGGAAGGGAAAGGGAAAGAAGGGAAGGGAAAAGGGGAAGAAGAAAAGGGAAAGAGAAGGGAAAAGGGAAAGAGGGGAAGGGAAAAGGGAAAGGGGAAAGGGAAAAGGGAAAGAGGAGAAGGGAAAAGGGAAAGAGGGGAAGGGAAAAGGGAAAGGGGAAAGGGAAAAGGGAAAGGGAAAAGGGAAAAGGGAAAGGGAAAAGGGAAAGGGAAAAGGGAAAGGGAAAAGGGAAAATGGAAAGGAAAAGGGAAAGGGAAAAGGGAAAGAGGAGAAGGGAAAAGGGAAAGAGGAGAAGGGAAAAGGGAAAGGGAAAAGGGAAAGGGAAAAGGGAAAAAGGAAAGAGGGGAAGGGAAAAGGGAAAGAGGAGAAAAAAGGGAAAGAGGAGAAGGAGAAAGGGAAAGAGAAAGAGAAGAAGCAAGCTCATGAGAAGGCGCTGCTGATCCCGACCCCGACCCCATCCCCATCCCCACGGGCGCTGCGGGGCGGTCCCGCTCCAGCCCCGCTTTCCCAACCCTTCTCCCGCCCCCCCCATCCCCATCCCTTGGGAAGCAGCCCGGGAAGGCAGGGAAATACCGGGAGCCGGAGGCGAAGCGGCCGCAGCGAGCCCCGGCCCCGCTACGAGCGCCTACGGAAACGCACCCGGTGGAAGCCCGTGATCTCCACGGAGCCCGGAGCCGCGTCCGCGGAGCCTGCGGCAGGGAAACGGCGAAGGGACCGGGATCGGGATCGGGACCGGGATCGGGATCGGGACCGGGACCGGGATCGGGACCGGATCCACCCCAGCCCGGCCGTGGAGACCGCGGCAGAGCCCGGTCCCTCCCCTTGAGCTCTGGGACCCCCACTTTAGCTCCAGGTCCCCCCCTTTAACTCCAGGTTCCCCCCTTTAGCTCCTGAACCCCACTTTAGCTCCAGCCCCCCCTTTAGCTCCAGGTCCCCCCCTTTAGCTCCTGAACCCCACTTTAGCTCCAGGTCCCCCCCTTTAGCTCTTGAACCCCCCTTTAGCTCCAGGCCCCCCCCTTTAGCTCCTGAACCCCCCTTTAGCTCCAGGCCCCCCCCTTTAGCTCCTGAACCCCCCTTTAGCTCCAGCCCCCCCTTTAGCTCCAGGTCCCCCCCTTAGCTCCAGCCCCCCCTTTAGCTCCAGGTCCCCCCCTTTAGCTCCTGAACCCCCCTTTAGATCCAGGTCCCCCCTTTAGCTCCAGCCCCCCCTTTAGCTCCAGCCCCCCCTTTAGCTCCAGGACCCCCCCTTTAGCTCCAGCCCCCCCTTTAGCTCCAGGTCCCCCCCTTTAGTTCCTGAACCCCCTTTAGCTCCAGGTCCCCCCCTTTAGCTCCTGAACCCCCCTTTAGCTCCAGGCCCCCCTTTAGCTCCAGGTCCCCCCTTTGGCTCCAGGTCCCCCCACCCTTTAGCACCAGGGTCCCCCCTTTAGCTCTGGGTCCCCCCCTTTAGCTCCAAGGCCCCCATTTAGTTCCAGGGATCCCCCTTTATCTCTGGGACACCCCCCCCCCCCCCAGCACCTCTCATCCCATCCTCCTCCTCCTGCTCCGCATTGGGCCTTGCTTCATCCCTCGGGGGGGGCTCCAGGGGGCTCAGCCCTATAGAATGGGGGGGGGGGGAACCAGGGTGAAGCTCCCTTGTCCCCCCCTTATCTGGTGCCCCCCTCCTTAGGGATAGGGACGCACTGGAGGGGGGTTCCTCCTTGCTCAGTGGCTCTGTGGTGCCTGCATCCTCCTCCTCTTCCTCTTCCTCCTCGCTGCCATCTTCCTCATCTTCATCCTCTTCGCTCACATCCTCCCATTGCTCTTCCTCCTCCTCCTCCTCCTCTTCCTCCTGGCTCAGGGAATGGGGGGGGTCCAGGGGGGTCCTGGTTGGTGTCTCCTCTGTCTATGGGCATCGAAAAGGGGGGGATCAGAGGGGTATCGGGGTGGGGGGGTACCAGGATACAGGGATGGGGGATGCTGGGACACTGGGATGGAGGTACTGGGATAGGAGGTTTGGGACACCAGGAAGGAGGGTACAGGGATGGGGTTACCAGGGCACCAGGATACTGGGATGTGGGGCACCAGGATGAAGGGTATTGGGGTACCAGGATGGGGGACACTGGGGTTGGGGGTATCAGGGTACAGGGATGGGGGGTACCAGGGCACTGGGATACAGGGATGGGGGGTACCAGGGCACTGGGATACAGGGATGGGGGGCACCAGGGCACTGGGATACAGGGATGGGGGGCACCAGGGCACTGGGATACAGGGATGGGGGGCACCAGGGCACCGGGATACGGGGATGGGGGGCACCAGGGCACTGGGATACAGGGATGGGGGGTACCAGGGCACTGGGATACAGGGATGGGGGGCACCAGGGCACCGGGATACGGGGATGGGGGGTACCAGGGCACCAGGATACAGGGATGGGGGGTACCAGGGCACCGGGATACGGGGATGGGGGGTACCAGGGCACCGGGATACGGGGATGGGGGGTACCAGGGCACCGGGATACAGGGATGCAGGGTACCACGGCACCGGGATACAGGGATGGGGGGTACCACGGCACCGGGATACAGGGATGGGGGGTACCATGGCACCGGGATACAGGGATGCAGGGTACCAGGATACAGGGATGGGGGGTACCAGGGCACCGGGATACGGGGATGGGGGGGTACCAAGGCACTGGGATACGGGGATGGGGGGGTACCAAGGCACCGGGATACGGGGATGGGGGGCACTGGGATGCTCTGAGCCCCATTGCTTCACCTCCCAGCTCTCGGTTGCAGGTGCTTCTGCCGGCTCCTTCTCCTCCCATCGGTTGTCGTGCATGCTGCAGGGCGAGATTCCAGCCGCTGGGAGACTCCATAGGGAATGGATTCCCCCCCCCCCCCGCCCTGGGACCCACTGGACCTGTAGGACTTGGCCCCCAGGCCCCGGCCCCGGGGCTTCTGCTGGGGCAGGAATTCAGCCAGGGTGGGGGGTTTGGGTGCTGGGCGCTGGAGCTCATCCCTAGATCCCGAATCCCAGGATGGGGCGGCCGCGGAGCCTTCCAGGAACCTGGAATTGAACCAGGACACGGTGACAATGGGGAATGGGAGACAATGGGGAATGGGTGCCAGTGGCTACGGGTGACAATGGCCATGGGTGCCAATGGGAGATGGGTGCTGATGGCCATGGGTGTCAATGGGAGATGGATGCCGATGGCCATGGGTGCCAATGGGAGATGGATGCCGATGGCCATGGGTGCCAATGGGAGATGGGTGCCCACGGCCATGGGTGTCAATGGGAGATGGATGCCCATGGGAGATGGATGCCCATGGCCATAGGTGCCAATGGGAGACTGGTGCCGATGGCCAAGGGTGTCAATGGGAGATGGGTGCCAATGGCCATGGGTGTCAATGGGAGATGGGTGCCCATGGGAGATGGATGCCAATGGCCATGGGTGTCAATGGGAGATGGATGCCCATGGCCATGGATGTCAATGGGAGATGGATGCCAATGACCATGGCTGCCAATGGGAGAGATGCCGATGGCCATGGGTGTCAATGGCAGATGGGTGCAGATGGCCATGGGTGCCAATGGGAGATGGATGCCAATGGCCAAGGGTGTCAACGGGAGATGGATGCCAGTGGCCATGGGTGTCAATGGGAGATGGATGCCGATGGCCATGGGTGTCAATGGGAGATGGATGCCCATGGCCATGGGTGCCAATGGGAGATGGGTGCCAATGGGAGATGGGTGCCAATGGCCATGGGTGTCAATGGCAGATGGGTGCCAATGGCCATGGGTGTCAATGGCAGATGGGTGCCAATGGCCATGGGAGTCAATGGCAGATGGGTGCCCACGGCCATGGGTGTCAATGAGAGATGGGTGCCAATGGGAGATGGGTGCCAATGGCCATGGGTGTCAATGGCAGATGGGTGCCAATGGCCATGGGTGCCAATGGCAGATGGGTGCCCACGGCCATGGGTGCCAATGGGAGATGGATGTCCATGGCCATGGGTGTCAATGGGAGATGGATGCCCATGGCCATGGGTGCCAATGGGAGATGGATGCCCACGGCCATGGGTGTCAATGGCAGATGGGTGCCCACGGCCATGGGTGTCAATGGCAGATGGGTGCCCACGGCCATGGGTGTCAATGGCAGATGGGTGCCCACGGCCATGGGTGTCAATGGCAGATGGGTGCCAATGGCCATGGGTGTCAATGGGAGATGAGTGCCCACGGCCATGGGTGTCAATGGCAGATGGATGCCAATGGCCATGGGTGTCAATGGGAGATGGGTGCCCATGGCCATGGGTGTCAATGGGAGATGGATGCCCATGGCCATGGGTGCCAATGGGAGATGGATGCCCATGGAAGATGGATGCCCATGGCCATGGGTGTCAATGGGAGATGGATGCCCATGGAAGATGGATGCCCATGGCCATGGGTGTCAATGGGAGATGGATGCCCATGGAAGATGGATGCCCATGGCCATGGGTGTCAATGGGAGATGGATGCCCATGGCCATGGATGTCAATGGGAGATGGATGCCAATGACCATGGCTGCCAATGGGAGAGATGCCGATGGCCATGGGTGTCAATGGCAGATGGGTGCCAATGGCCATGGGTGCCAATGGCAGATGGGTGCCCACGGCCATGGGTGTCAATGGCAGATGGGTGCCAATGGCCATGGGTGTCAATGGGAGATGGATGCCCATGGCCATGGGTGTCAATGGGAGATGGGTGCCAATGGGAGATGGATGCCAATGGCCATGGGTGTCAATGGCAGATGGGTGCCAATGACTATGGGTGTCAATGGGAGATGGGTGTCCATGGCCATGGGTGTCAATGGGAGATGGATGCCCATGGCCATGGGTGCCAATGGGAGATGGGTGCCAATGGCCATGGGTGTCAATGGGAGATGGATGCCCATGGCCATGGGTGTCAATGGGAGATGGGTGCCAATGGGAGATGGGTGCCCACGGCCATGGGTGTCAATGGCAGATGGGT